GATTTTTTGCATTGAGTTGATAGAGTAATTTGAGTTAACGAGCTCCTTAACTTAACTTAACTTAACTTAACTACAGTGGGGCATTGACTTACGAGTTTAATTCGTTCTGAGACCGAGCTCGTTAAGGAGATCGTTAACTCAAATTACTCTATCAACTCAATGCAAAAAATCGGCTGAGAGACAGCTGGTATCTCAAAAAACTCGTTAGTCGGGACACTCGTAAGTCAAAGCCCCACTGTAAACTCCCTTTCCTGGGGACAATGGCAAAACGTTTGCAGTCAGCACCTTGGTGGGTCTGAGCTTCTGCATTTCCAAGATGCTGCAGGTGATATCCAGGCTGCGGGGCTGAGGACCGCATTCTGAGTTCTTAGAGCTCAGGGCCGCTACGTCCTATTCTTCCCTACGGAGTTAATGAAACCTACCATGGGCCAGGATTCTCTTTCTCCCAAGCTGTCACCCGAATGGCTTTGCTGTGTGGCTGGTACACGTTACCACACCTCTCTAGTCTAGACCTTTGTTTCTTCTTCTCCTGCTGCTCCCCAGACCTGTCAGGCCAGCCCTGCTGCCTCTCATCCACCCTGGCCCTGCCCTTCACTCTTCTCCAGATGGGCCTGTCAGCAGGCGGACCCACCCAGCGGAGGAGGAGGAGGAGGAGGAGGAGGAGGTGGAGGAGGAGGAGGAGAATCTAGGGCAGTGTGCCTCACGTGCTGCGGGGCTCCGGAACAGGCATCTGGAGCTGGATCATGTAGGACTGGAAGGAGTGAGGTGGTGTGTGTGTGTGTGTGTGTGTGTTCCCCCAACATTCTATCAGTTGCAGGAGGAAAGTCTGTCCCAATCTTCTCACTCAGCTGCATCCTTCAAATTCACCCTCATTTTGGAGCCTGACCATGGGGACACCTCCTAGGGGCTGAGACCCCTTCACAGGGGAATTTGGGAAGGAGCTGGACAAGCTGTGACCCCTCTCCGGCTCTCACCCCATGGGAAAGCTAAGCCCCAAAGGGGCCAGCACAGCTTGCAGTCTGAGCGAGAGCGAGAGCAAGACAGTAGTCACTGAGGATCTCCCAGCTCTGCCCTCTCCTGCCTGGACCCTCTTCTCATGGCCCCACAGACCCACCCAGCTCACCCCCGGGTGCCCTCTTTCCAAAGGGCCCTTCCACCCCCGATCCACCCCTGAGTCTGATGGGTGAGGCCCCAGCCAGGCTGGGTTCTTTGTTCCTCTTCCCAGCAGGCAGGTGTCAGCTCTGGCCCTGGGCTGCTTGGAGGTAGGACTGCGTGCCCTGGAGGAGCCAGGGAGATGCTTAGGCCAAGACTCGCCTGGCAACTAAACAATCAAGTTCAAGCTTTACCTGCTGAACCCCAGACTTGGAAAGGCCGAAGAGGAAGTAAACTTGGGGGGCCCAGAGTGACCTTTGTCTACACCCAAACCTGTCCCCTGGCCCCGCTGGAGGTGCTGAGTCCTGAGGTCCCAGCGCTCACACTCTGTGACATTGAGCTGGTTTCTCTCTGGACCCAGCTGGCTCTGGCTTTCAGTTTTGGGTGACTGCCACCAGGGAGGAAACAGCTAGGCACGCAGGCATTGGCTGACTCAGCCCAGCCCAGCCCCCCGGAGTTCAGAGGTCGGCCAGGGACTTTGTCCTCCCAGGAGGAGGGTGAGGAGATCTCGTAGTGCTCCAGGCAGAAGGTACGAGGCTAGGCTGACAGGCCTGAGGGCCCTGGGCCTGGGGCAGGGAGGGGCAGCGAGCTGGCCCAGGACCGCGGTTTCCTTGTAATTGGAGCCGCCCCTGGCAACCTTCTGCAGGCTGATTCTTGTCGGGGCGTTTCTTCATTCCTCTTTCTCTTTCTCCCTTCCCCTTCTCTCTGTCTCCCTCCCTCCTTGTCTCTCTCCCTCTCTGTCTCTGTCTCTCTCTCTTTCTGCCTCTCTCTCCCTCTCCCTCTGAATTTCCCTGGGCCTCCCTTCCCTCCAGAGCCCCCATGCCCTGTCACCTGCCCATATCCCTTACGCCCTTGGCCCTCTTCCTCTGTAAGCTGGTCTCTGCCTCAGAGCTCCCCCTTACCGCCCCGTCCTAGGCCCCAGGAGCTCACCCTCTGCCTGCCCTGCAGGATGCTGCAGCTGAGCCTGTCCTGGCTGGGACTGGGGCCGCTGGCAGCCTCCCCGTGGCTACTCCTGCTGCTGCTGCTGGGAGCCTCCTGGTTCCTGGCCCGCGTCCTGGCAAAGATCTATACCATGTATGACAACTCTCTTCGCCTCCGATGTTTCCCGCAGCCCCCAAAGCGGAACTGGTTTTGGGGTCACCTGGGCATGGTGAGTGTGGGCATCAGGACAAGTCTGGGGTATCAGGGTAGATGTGTTACTTACGAGTTTGGGTTCTTGTCTTCAGATATTTAAAGAATTTAGACCAGGGACACTGATAAAAGCAAAGGCAGATTCACTGGGGAGGAAGAGAACACAGATAAGGTCCCAGGTTCTGCTCCCCAAATGTGGGGCTCAGGGCGTTAGGGCTTGAGAACACAGAAATTTCTGGGTCGACCAATCAGGGAGTAGGTTAGCAGGCCTTTCCTTTCTGAAACGCTGATATCCAGGTATACGTCCGTGAAGCGAAGCATTCTGGGATTGTGTAGCACTTATTATGGGATGTAGGAAGGGACTTTCCAACCGGGGATGGAGTTTGTCCCTGTGGTTGGCAGCTTGGCTTTAGATCTGAAAGACAAACTTACCGTTTCAGATGGTCTCCCCGAAGGGTTGGGGATGGGGCTCAGAGGTTGGGCTGGGGTCGAGGACAGCAGAGCAGTGAGGGAGCCCTCTTTCCTCACGTCCCCACCAGGCTCCTTCCTCTCCTCTGTGCACTCCATGTCCCCAAAGCTCTCTTTTTCTTACCCTTCCTCACCCCCAGCCCCCTTCTGCTTGTCGGTCCCCATCCGTGCTCCTCTGAGGGTTTCTCAGGGTGGACTGCACAGAGCCGGGTCTCCTGGTGCCCACAGTCTCCGCTGCTGGACCCGAGGCCTCCTCAAGGTCCACTCACTGCCCGGCTCATCTCTGTTGGCCTCAGGCCAGTGTCTGCTCCTCTCTTGACCTCTGCTTCCCCAAAGGAATTAACTATGACCTCTGCCATCTCCTCCTTTTCCCCCTCCCCCCAGGGCACAGCTGGGCCTGAGAAGAGGTGTGGGCAGTCTCTCCTCCTCCCTTCCCCAGGCAATTTTCTTATCGTGCCTCCCACACCCCAGGTGTATCAATGGGCCCCGTTGCCCAACTTAGATCAAAGTTGACCACTTCACCTTTCAGAAGGGATCCCTCCAGCCTTTGCCCTTCTGGCCGACTTCCTGGGACGGGCCTTCTCCCCACAGGCCCTCTGTCCGTGCTGCATCCACCCCCTATTGCCACAGTCACACTTTGGACTTTGTCGTCACCTGTAAAGGCGCTGTCTCCAAAGCCACTGATCTGAGTGTTGCATCCTCTGACCAGAACCCCCTCTTCCTCCGAGCTTCTTTCTTCTTCTACATCTTCGAGGCCGCCAGGATGTCTAGTCCCTTTACGTCTCAGTCCGACAGCTTCCTTCTGACCCCATTTCCTTGGACACATTTAGCTTTGGCTCCATCCTTTGCACACGGGCTAGGGTCTCTCGCCGACTGAAGTTTCCATCATGACTCTTTGGACAGCCTCTGCCTGTTTGAGCTCAATCACCACATCCTCCAATCTTTCTCCACGACGATGCTAGAGGAGGTCATGAAACCGGACGAAAGGGTGTCAGCTAAATCCCCACTCACCTCCAGTGCAATCCAACCTGCACAAAGCCATCTCATTCACCTCCAAGCAACTCTGACCTTGCTGACTGCTCTGTCATCTTGCAAACTCCCTTTTCTCTTGATTCTAGGACAAGTCCCTGCCCTCGTCGTTACCTCCATGTGGCTCCTCTATCTCCAGTCCCGGCTCCTGCTTCATCCTACCTTTCCATGTGGGGATTCACCCCGAGTCCTAACCCCTCCTCTCTCTCCCAAGGCCACCTCCTTACCAAGGGCTTCTAATCTTGAGGAGACCATCAGTTCCCTGCATAAGTGAATCCCAAGTTCACATTTCTCCTGAGTCTGAGGCTCTATGTCCAGCCCCTTCCTCCCCTCCTCATATGGTGGGACGTCTCATAAATACCTCATTTCTCCGAGTTGGAATCTGAAATCACGGCTCCATCCCCAATCCTCATCCCCACCCTGGGTCTAGTTCATCATTCAGTTATCCACATCCCATACTTTAGGGTCCCCTGGCCCCTCTCTTCTCTCACCTACACATCTGGTCCTTCATCACATCTGGCTGTGGTGCCTCCACCACCTTTCCTCAGTCTGTCCCCTCTGAATCATCCTGCCACACCCCTGGCTCCATCCACCATCACCTTTCTCTGGAAGCCTCACCCAGCTCCCTCTCTGATCTCCTCATTTGGCTTTTGTTTACTATCATCCTCTCTCTCTTTAACCTTGAAGAGATTTTTCTGAAATTGAGTTTAGAGAAGGGGTGGGCAAACTTTTTGACTCGAGGGCCACAATGGGTTCTTAAACTGGACCGGAGGGCCGGAACAAAAGCATGGATGGAGTGTTTGTGTGAATTAATATAAATTCAAAGTAAACATCATTACATAAAAGGGTACGGTCTTTTTTTTTTTTAGTTTTATTCATTTCAAACGGGCCGGATCCGGCCCGCGGGCCGTAGTTTGCCCACGGCTGGTTTAGATCATGCCTCTTCTTGGCTAAAAACTGATGACTGCCTATCCCTCTGAAGATAAAGAATAAATGTTGCCTGCCCTCGCCAGCCCCACCCACACTCAGGACGCTCAGCTCCTGCTTTAGCTCCTCAATGAGCCAAGCCATTCCAGGGCCTTTGCTCATACTGCTCTTTTGACTGGAAGCACTTCTTTTCTTGTGGTTTCCTGGTCGATTCCTCCCATTTTCAGCTTAAATGTAACTTCCTTCTAGAAACTGTCCTTGACCCCCAGACCTTGACTTCTGACTAGGCCTTGCTCACACTTAAACAGTTAATTGTCCAATTATTTGTTCCTTATTCATCTCTCCCATTAGATAGTGTCACTGGGGGTAGACACAGTATCTGTAGTGCCCATGCCAGGAACTGATATACAGTAGGCACTTCATAAATATTTGATGATGTCATGGTGGAGGCCATGTTCTAGGCCTGGATGAACTTGCAATCACCTTTCTTGGTTATCCAAGGCCGAAGGGATGAGCGACCAACTCCTCTCCTCCCCCACCTCCCCCCAGCTTATCACAGAACAGGATGTCCTAAGCCAGTGATGGCGAACCTTTTGAGCTCGGCGTGTCAGCATTTTGAAAAACCCTAACTTAACTCTGGTGCCGTGTCACATATAGAAATTTTTTGATATTTGCAACCATAGTAAAACAAATACTTATATTTTTGATATTTTTTATATATTTAAATGCCATTTAACAAAGAAAAATCAACCAAAAAAAATGAGTTCGCGTGTCACCTCTGACACGCGTGTCATAGGTTCACCATCACTGTCTCCTAAGCTCATCACAGAACAGAAGGTCCCAAGCGCATCATGAAGGTTGGTTGAGATTCTGGGTTTTAGAATGATCTTAGTGAGCCCTGGGGGCAGTGGGAATGTTATAAAGTTACAGCAGTTCTGCCTCCCCCTCCAAGGGTTTGGATGTGGAGGATGGCCTTGGGCACTCTTCCCTCTTCCAGCCCCTCAACTGGTGAGTGGAGTCACTCTTCCTCTCTGGAGCGATCTTATCGAGTCTCACCTGCCTGGAGCACCGGGGAATTTGTCAGCTCTGACGGGGCATTCCTTTCAGAGGGACTGGGGAGGACACCTCACCAGGAGGTGATCCACCCTCCTTCCCCTATTGGGGGACATGGCTTCAGTTTCTCATTTGTAAACGGTACAATTAATGGGCGTGTCCATACTTGGAGAGCAGGGACAGGTCACACAGTGAAAACAACTCATCTCACCTGCCTGGAGCACAGGGGAATTTGTCAGCTCTGATGGGGCATTCCATTCGGAGGGACTGGAGAGGACACCTCACCAGGAGGTGATCCACCCTCCTTCCCCTTTTGGGGGACATGGCTTCAGTTTCTCATTTGTAAACGGTACAATTAATGGGCGTGTCCATAGCTTCAGGAGAGATAGATAAATGGGACATACTATAAGAGATGATGGGTGGATAGATAAATATAGATAGATAATAGATAGACAAAAGATGATGGATGGATAGATGATTAGATGATGGATGGATGGATAGATGGATAGATAGATATATAGGTGACTAGATGATGGATGGATAAATGGTAGATGGATGAATAGATAGATGAATATATAGATTATGGATAGAAAGATGATAGATGATGGATAAATTGATTGATAGATTGATAGGTATATAGATTATATATATAGATATAGATTGATAGATGATGGATAGATAGATGGTTGGATGGATATAGATAGATAAATACATACATAAATACATGCATACATACATACAAACAAACAGAAGATAGATGTATGTGCATCTGTGTATGTACTTATTTCTTTTACTCCCTCTGTTTACCTGTATCTCTATGTGTTCTTCTCTCTGTCTCTCCCTCACTCTTTTTTTGTTTCTTTTTTAAAAACATATATATTATCATTGATTTCAGAGAGGAACAGAGAGGGAAAGAGAGATAGAAACATCAATGATGAGAGAGAATCACTGATTGGCTGCCTCCTACATGCCCCCCACTGGGGACCGAGCGTGCAGCCTGGGCATGTGCCCTTGACCAGAATCGAACTTGGGACCCTTCAGTCCGCAGGCTGATGCTCTATCCACTGAGCCAAACTGGCTAGAACATCTTTCTCTGTTTCTTTGCTTTTATTTCTCTGCCCATCTCTCCAACTCCCCATCTGCTTCTCCTCATCTCCATATCCTGCATGGCCCCCCAGTGCCCTCAGAATCAATCCCCTGCCTCTACCCACTCGTGATCTCTTGATGCCCTGCTTGATCTGCTCTCCTTTCCACCTTTTCTCTGCTTCCCACCCATTTCACTTTAGCTGCACGGAACCCCTTGCTGCTCATAGCCAGGTGCTGGCTCTCTCATCTCCAGGCCTTTGAGTGGGCTATTCCTTTCCATCATCTATCTATCTATCTATCTATCTATCTATCTATCTATCATCTGTTTGTCTCATATATCTATCTACTTATTTATCTCCTAAAGAAACAGAGAGATAAAGAGAATGAGGGGACAAGGAGAGACATATAGGTAGCTAGACACACAAAAGACCTGAGAGCAATGAAGAGAAGCTGACTTAGTGAGGTGGAGACAGGTGCAGACCAATAATCCAGGCAGAAGGAGTTAAGGGGTGAGTAGGGTATGATGAGTAGAGGGTACAGTGGGCAATTGTTGCATCTGAGGCCCCCGGTCAGGCCTTGCCTCATCCCCATCCATTCCCAGGCGAAGAGCAATGAGGAGGGCTTGCGGATGATAGAGGAACTGGGCCACTACTTCCGTGACGTCCATCTCTGGTGGATTGGGCCGCTCTACCCCGTCCTGCGGCTCGTTCACCCTAAGTTTGTTGCCCCCGTGCTCCAGGCCCCAGGTACCTCTCCCAGGAGCCCCCAACCCTGGCCTCTCCCTTGCCTCTGCTCCCAGCCCTTCCCACCCCTGGACAGACCAGGTTGAGCAGGAGAATGGGCTATGTTGACAGAGTCCATGCCTGTGACACTAACCTGTTGGGTAACTCTGGGAAGGTCCCTGGTTCTCTCTAGTTGACAAAGTCTCTCTTGGTTTTGAGTGGCAGAAACTCAGCATTGTAGGTGTGAGTAAAGAAGGGGAGCTATTGACTGGGAAGCTCAGCTAGAGCTGTCTTCAGGCTGGATCCACGCCTGAACAATGCCATTGGAAATCTGTCTTCATCTCATAGTTCACTGTGACACTAACCTGTGGGGTAACTCTGGGAAGGTCCCTGTTTCTCTCTAGTTGACAAAGTCTCTTTCAGTTTTGAGTGGCAGAAACTCAGCATTGTAGGTGTGAGTAAAGAAAGGGGAGCTATTGACTGGAAATCTCAGCGAGAGCTGTCTTCAGGTATGGCTGGATCCCGGTCTTCAAACAATGCCATTGGAAATCTGTCTTCATCTCATAGTTCTGTGTTCTTCTGTGCCAGAGCTCAACTGCCCTGGAAAAGTGAGCTCATTCCCAGGAAAGATTGCAGGATTCTCTAAACTGGCCTGGCTTGGGTTCCAGGGACAAATCCCTCATCTAATCACTGTGACTTGATTGCTAAGGCTCAGAGTCATATGCTTAGCTCTGGAGTAGAGGGTGGGTTGTCATGGCCACCCTCCTAATTACTTGGATTGAGAGTGGAGGAGGGATGGGGTCCTGGTTTCAGGAGAAGGGGATGGACATTGGACAGGCAGATACCAGATGTCCATCCACCAGCAACCTTGGTAGGTGGGCATTTCCTGGGTGAGGAATCAGGCTCAGAGAGGCATAGTAACTTCTCAAGACCACAGAGCATGCTGAAGTTTTCCTCTTAGCCTTGTGTGTTTTCAGCTGCCCTCGCTGCCTCTGATTAGAGGAACCCTAAGCTAGAAGGTGATTTGGGACGGGAAGACCAATGGCCAGACTATTGTGGGGGAAGATCCACCAGACCCCAGGTTGGTGACCTGTGTCTGGTTGGCCCTGGGGGCCTGGTCTAGAGGGAGTAGTGGCAGTTCTTCATGGAGAGTGGAGCTCAGTATCTGGGAGGGGCAGCATCCTCTATTCCCTTTAAGGACAGAGGAGCCCCTGACTTAAGCACTTAATGCTGAGTATAAGGTAGAGGAGAATCCTGGGAAAGTCTTGGTCATACCTGTGTCATGTCTGAGACATTAATGGGACCATATTGAAGTCCTAACTGGGGCCTGTTTGCGGGACATACTGAGGTCATGTCAGATTGTCTTTGGATCCATGTCAGAGCATGCTGTATTATGTCATGGCATGCCATCCATGTTGGAGTCATGTCAGGATATGTTAAAACATGTTTGAGCCATGTCAGATGTCCTAAGAGATGTCAGAGAGTGCTGGGGCAGACAGGGTGTCCTAGGTCCCTATAAAGGCATTTTGCAGAGTGCTGGACTGTGCTCGGGTGTGTAGAACATGTTAGATCATGTAGGATCCATGTCAAGGTGTGTTGAAGCACGTGGTGCCATGTTGGGGTGAGTCTAAGCATGTAGGATGGTGTCTTTGGGCTCTGCCTTTGCTCTGCTCTGTGTTGCAGCCTGGTCTGGTCCTCCCGTGGCTCCCTCCTCCTCACCATTTCCTCTGCCCTTGTCCCATTTCTGCCATGATGGGTTTGGAGGGGGAATGCAGACCCCTGGTTCTTAGCCTCCTCCCCTCACTCAAAGTCCCTCTCCTCCCCCCTCCATTGTCCCTGATGGTTTTCACTCATGTCAGCTGCCGTCGCCCCCAAGGACATGGTCTTCTACAGCTTCATGAAGCCCTGGCTGGGTGAGTCACTGAGGGAGAAGCAGGTTGGGGACACCCCTTGGGGGACCAGGAAAAGGTCCTACCTTGCCCACTCCCGTGGCTGCCTCTACTAGGGGATGGGCTTCTGCTGAGTGCTGGTGACAAGTGGAGCCACCACCGCCGCCTGCTGACTCCCGCCTTCCACTTCAACATCCTGAAGCCCTACATGAAGATTTTCAACGACAGCGTGAATATCATGCACGTGAGTCTCTTGAACTCAGTGAGGGTCTCAGTGGAGCCTCGGGGGTACTGGGGGCTCAGCGGCATCTTGACTGGAATGCTGACTCTTCTGGGTAGATTTTGGGCCATTGCTCTCCCTTTCTGAGCCTCAGTTTCCTCAGCTGTGAAATGGAATAATTCCGTAGAGTGGGAAGATGACATAATGGAGTCAGGTCCCTGATACATTATATGCATGCATACAAGTCCTTCGGTTGATCTCTTACCCTCCCCTCCTGCTCCCCAACCCTCCCCGGCCTTTCCACTGCAGTTTGACAGTCTGTTCGAGGCTGCTCTGGAAACTTTTTTTGCAGTCATTTCCCATTTAATCATTTGATAATGATGGTCATTATCAAATGGGAGTAGTCATTTTGGTAGTCATTACCACTATGATAATGATGAAGATGAAAGTGATAGCTAACAGTTACTTCACACTTACTGAATACCAAAAATGACGAGCCAATTCCATTGCATATGTTGTATAATTTAATTTTTAGCAACCATACGAGGTAGAGATGACAATTATGACCACTTTGCAGGTGATAAAACAGAAGGTCAGAGAGATTAGGGAGTTGCCCAAATTCACAAAGCTAGTAAGTGAGCGATGAGTGGTGGATCAAGAATTTTAAGCTAGCCCGACCGGGCTCAGTGGTTGAGCGTCGACCTATGAACCAGGAGGTCCTGGTTCCATTCCCGGTCAGGGCACATGCCTGGGTGGTGGGCTTGATCCCCAGTGTGGGGCGTGCAGGAGGCAGCCGATCAATAATTCTCTCTCATCATTGATGTTTCTATCTCTCTCTCCTTCTCCCCTCCTCTCTGAAATCAGTAAAAAATATATATTAAAATAAAAAAATTTCAAGCTGGTTTGTCTGACACAAAAACAGGTTATCTTAAGTTGACTGAAGATTTGACAGGTGGAGCCTAGAAAAGGACAATGATCTTGAACCCAAGTATCCTGACTCCCAGCCATGGGGTCACTCCTACTCAAGCCTGGTCCTCTCTGGGGATGGGTGCCTGGGGCAGAGGACCAAGAGGCAGGGTCTGGGGACTCCATCAGGTGGTTGGGTGGGGGAAGGGCTCAGGGAAGCCCCAGCTCTATGCCCTTCTCTGTCCAGGCCAAGTGGAAGCGCCTGGCCTCAGAGGGCAGCACCCGTCTGGACATGTTTGAGCACATCAGCCTCATGACCCTGGACAGTCTGCAGAAATGTGTCTTCAGTTTTGACAGCAAGTGCCAGGAGTGAGTCTCTTCCCAGAGCCTGGGAGCATGAGCCATGGGCCCAAGGGAGCAGATGGAGGGGGTACTGACCAGGGCAATCATAAGGGCCTTCCTGGAGGAGGTGGGTCAGGGCTGGACATTGAAGGACAAGGAAGGGGAATGAGCAAGGGTGATCCCTTCAGGTAGGTAGAACCGTTTGCTAAAGGCCAGGAGTGTGTGAAGCAGTGAGGAGACATCTTGGAAATGAGGTTGGAGGGCGTGGCAGGGGCTGGATCTTAATGACATTCAAACGCTAGGCAAATAGGTAGAACTTTATCCTGAGATATCCAGAGAGCCAAGGGGGGTGTTTGAACAGATGAGAGTTGTGGTCAAAGCTGAGCTTAGACATCTGAGTCTAGAGATGATGGACTATTCTGTAGACACAGGATGCAAGGAGACCGTGAACAGGAGAACTGAGCTTGGTGGAGAAAATGGGGCATATTTGAGAGAAACCAGAATGGGCAGGGCCAGATATTGCACAGGAAGAGAGGAGAGGAGCGTGATTCCTAAGCTTTGTCTTGGGGTCTAGGACATGAGGCAGCTCATAGAGACAGAAGCATGTTTGGGGGGCATCCTTTTCTAGATTGAACGTGGTGTTGGGGTCTGGCTGGGAGGGCCTCCCAGGGTTTCCTGTGTGTTAAGGAGCCGGTTTGTCTGTCCTGGTCCTGCAGGTATCCCAGCGAATATATTGCCGCCATCTTGGAGCTCAGTGCCCTGGTGACGAAGCGGGCGCAGCAGATATTCTTGCACCTGGATTTCCTGTACTACCTCACCCCCGACGGGTGGCGCTTCCGCAGGGCTTGTGAACTGGTGCACAAGTTCACAGACGCCGTCATCCAGGAGCGGCGGCGCATCCTCGTTAGTCAGGGTTCTCATGCCTTTCTCAAAGCCAAGGCTAAGACCAAGACTCTGGACTTCATTGATGTGCTCCTGCTGGCCAAGGTGGGCTTCTCTGGGATCTGAATTCAAGAGGTAGAATGGACATTGATTTCAAATGTCAGATGGAAGAACCTGGACTTGAAGCAGAGGGCACTGGGGAGCCATAGAGGGTGCTTGAGGGAGGGAGGAATGGGTTAGAGATAAGCTGTAAACATGACTGTAGAAGGCTGTCTGGAAGGAGTAAACAGGAGGCAGGAGACCAGAGAGAAAACGCATGGGGTGTGCTCTGGAGATGAAGAGGGAAGGATCCTGCGTAGATGATGGAGCTTCAGGGACTATTTCAGGTCAGACACGCATCCTCAGAGCCGGTGTGATTTGAGGCATCTTGCCCTTTCTCAAGGATGAAAATGGGAAGGGACTGTCAGATGAGGACATCCGAGCTGAGGCTGATACCTTCATGTTTGAGGGTAAGGGTCCTAGCGTGGGATTCCAGAGGGGGTGGGGTCTCTCCATCCCAGGGACTTGGCAGGTGGGCCCTAGTTCACCCCATCCTGCCCGATCCTCCCCCCCCACCTCCCTGAAGGCCTTAATAGGAGGGCACGGCCCCCTCTGCTGCTGCAGTAGCCCAAAGACCCAAGCTTGTCTGACTGCCTCCCAGGCCATGACACCACAGCCAGCGGCCTCTCCTGGGTCCTGTACAACCTCGCAAGGCACCCAGAATACCAGGAGCGCTGCCGGCAGGAGGTGCAACAACTCCTGGGGGACCGCGAGCCTCAAGAGATTGAATGGTGAGTGCAGGTCCTCCTGGCCTCTTCCTGAGCCCCTCTCATTGGCTCTGCCCCCAAAGTGGGGAAGAGGGAAGATCTTTTGGTTGTTTCTGTCATTGCGTCCTCCCATTTAGCGGGAATGGAAGCAGAGTCCAGAGGCAGGGTCTGGAACCAGCCTGGATAGCAGGACAAAGCTTACAGGCTTTGGGGACAGAAAGATCTGAGTGTCCACATTTCTTGCCCCACTAACTTGCTTTGTGACTTTAATAAAATCAGTTTCCTTTTCTGAATGCTACTTCTGCCTCTGTAGTGTGTGTGTGTGTGTGTGTGTGTGTGTGTGTGTGTGTGTGTGTGAATGTCGCCCCCGCAGGGCTGCTTGGAGAATTGCAACAGTGTGTAAAACAGACGCCACCCAGCAGGTGATCAGTAAATGAACTTCTCCTCCCTTCCCTTGCGTTTCTGCCTGAAGTTGCAAGACCTCAACTCCCCTTAATTTTTGCTCTTTTCTTGAATCCCCACCTAATCGTCTATCCCAGGGGTTCCCAAGAAATCTTTAGGGGTAAAAATCACCCATGTTTTCATTCAGTAAACAGGTCCACACTGCCTGTCCTTTCCCAACTCAGTGTCTAGTCCCATCTGAGTCCTACCTGGGCAAGGCTGGGGCTGGAAGAAAAGGAGGTGAAACTGGGTTGTGCAACAACAAAGATGAATTCACCACCTTGAGTGAATAGGGCTCCTGGCCAGGGGGACAGCTTGTGCAAAGGCCAGGTCAGAAGCATGCAG